CGCGGCGAGGGGGGGGGGGGGGGAGGAGACAGTTTCTTTGTCCATTCCTCTTGCTTCCTTCTTTTAAAAAAATCCCTTTCTCTCTCTCCTTTTGTTCTTGTTGACCACTGAATGCTGTACCATATCCATTTGGCCACAGGCTTCATCTGAGCTGCTGTTGATGGACATGCTTTGAGTCAGCTGACAGAGTTGGTATCTAGTGGTGAAAGTAGAATGTCTTTAAACACTCTATCATGCTAATTTCCATAAAGCCAATATGACTTGTTAGCTAAGACTGATTTAGGCAGTCATTCTGTCCTGATTTCATTTTTTGTGTATGAAGTTTAGCATCCAATATCACAGCTCAAACAATTTTAAACAGGAACACCATGAAACAGGAATGACGGTTTCCAAATTAGTGTACTAAATACTTATGATAACAAGTCCATTCATATGGCTTCATTAATTTCACAAACTCTCATAGATTTTCTTCAAGGGACATGCAAAATTCTAAATAAAGCCAATGAGATGGCAAGAGGCTCTCTTTTGGCAAATATTGCTGAATGAATGAGAGATCTCTTTTTTTTAGACCAGTTGCATTGATTTAGTACATACCAGTTTTAAAGGCAGTATCAGGAGTTTCTTTGAGTTTTATTGGCTTCCTTCAATGTATTCCCTCTCTGATATCAATAAAGCAAATCCTCATTTTGTTCACACAAGCAGCTCCATTCAATCAAGTGAATAATGTGAACAGGATTTGGTTTTTACATAGGCTTAGTGCTTGCAATGGTAAGACTCACATCCTTTCATAATAGCTGAAATGGATGTTTATAACTAATAGTTACACTGAGGGGAGACTTGCAATCCTTGAAGGTATGTGACGCATATAGATGAGACCGGTAGAGGGCAACCTACAGTCTGCAAGCCACATGCAGCTTACTGGGTTTTTGTGTGTGGCCCACAAGACTTTTTTTTTACCATTACCCACCACACAGAGTTGCCAGATTTTGCTGGTAGTTTTTTTCCTACTGGTATTCTTAAAGTGTCAGACACTTAAAGCAAAGGCATGTGAAGTGAGGTGCAAGCTGATTGCATAAAACATTGATTGTGAGAACCATGCGCTCCCTCTGCATCCATTTAAAGTGCTGTGTGCTATGGTTCAGTAGCACATTCTGCAAATTCTAGGTATGCAAGCACATCTGGCAAAACTACCCTATCCTGGGAGATCATCTTGGTTCTGACAATCTTGTCATGCAGCCCACTCACCAGTCTAGGTTGCCCATTGCTGGATGAGACTCTTTTCTCCTCTAGAAATGTCTCTCAGAACAATAATTTTATTCATAGAAAACTGTAGTGATTGACTTGTCAGATCCAGTGACAACACCATGCAAATGTTCCTGTATAGGAGAAGGAATTCCATTATCTTTACTATAAGTATTTGGCACGTTAGGTGAACTATGACTTTGGTGCTTCCTTCCCCTCACATACGATATAGAGAAAAATGAGGAGTCTAGAGTGAAATTTTACCTTTATTTACTTGACATTAAAAATGAACAATGAATATAATGATTTTCTCTACATTGCATCAATCCTAACTCAAGTACATTGTATAGGGTAAACTGTCCAGTAGCTGACAATTTTTAAGTTTTAACCATTTTGAGTTGTACACAGTATTTTTGGATAGTGCTATGAACAGTTGCATTTCAAGTTGCAACAGTTTTTCTTCCTTTCTTCCGCTGCCAGACCCTGCCCCCGTGCAGCAAACCCAGGCGACCCTCTTTTTAAGCTATGCCATGACAAATTTTAACTGTATTTATATATACACCAGAACTCCACAATGTGAAATAAATACTATAACT